GGCCACACATGGTAGCCCGTGGCACCCCACTGCAGCAAGGGCTGCAGCCTACACCATTGCCGGCGACTCACGGCTGCCCAGCTCCAGGTCGAGCAGTTGTTCAGCATCTTAGCTGTAGAGGGCAGTGTCACTGACCCTCATCTGTGGGATCCGAACCAGGGCCCTCTGGCGTCCCAAGCCAGCTCTTAACCAATGCGCCACTCGGCCCGCCCTGGGCTCCATACTTTGCATCGAGGTTTGAGCCAGGGTGGGCTATCCTGACCTCAGTACTAGGAAAGACTTAGGCCTGTACCTGGAAGGCAAGTCATTTGGGAACTTTCATGGTCACCCTGGAACAGCCACTGCATTGAGGGGCTATTCTTAATTGGGGAGAATTAGAAAAAAAGTATATAAATGCATTACTAGGGTCTGTCTGCAATAAATAATAATTGTGTGGAAGGAAGATGCAATTATAAACAGAATAAATGCTCTTTAGTTTATTTTTTATGTACATATACTGGCTTTCTTGATGTGAGTTTTTAACAGAATTACTTTAGGTTCTGGACAAGTAACCTTGGATGGATCTTCTCCTGGGAGGGATATCAAGAACCTAGCTCTTTTAAAGCCAGCAGCCTTGATTATAATGGAGTCTCCCCAGGTAGGAAAGCGGAAAGATGAGTTTCCTCTTGATGTTGCTAAGGCTCAGAGGTCTCATCAATAGGTAGCATTTCAGCCTAGGTCTCCCAGTAGTCACATCCCCAAGTCACATGGTCCCACCTTGCATTTGCTCATTTTAAAGATAAAAGCACTGTTACATCTGCGTGTGGGCAACAGTGGCACCTGGCATGCAGGAGAGAGCAAAATGAGGAAAGAAGTCTAGGCTGCTGGCAGGTGTGGGAGACTCGGGTTTGATCTGGGCAAACGCCATCAGTATGGCAAGTCCAGACAGGCAAGCAGAACCCAGAGTCTTAGGACCTCTGTAGAGGACAGACAAGGATGGAGGGCCCAGATATGAAAGGTGAGTGGAATCCTGGGAAAGTCGGCCGATCCACGGGCAGAGCACAGTGTTGATGAGCAGGGAGTAGCAGTTTGCTGTTAGACTCCCATTCACCTGGATGGGCGGGATCTCAGATGAGCGGGCTGCCCAGGAAAGGGATGGCCTCAGGTCGTGGCAGACCCCGTTGGGCAAGCACAGAGCTCCCCTTTCTGTGGTGCTTCAAATGCTTGCTGTCTCTCAAATGCAGGGCTCGCAGAAAACAGCCTGGACTCGCTGGTATTTGAGTCGCTAATCCCCAAGCCCATCCTGCAGCGCTACGTCTCCCTGCTGGTAGAACACCGGCGGATCATTCTCTCTGGCCCCAGCGGCACTGGGAAAACCTACCTGGCCAACCGGCTGTCAGAGTACCTCGTGCTTCGGGAGGGACGCGAGCTGACAGATGGGGTCATCGCCACCTTCAACGTGGACCACAAGTCCAGCAAGGTGAGGAGGGCATCCGGAGGCTGCTGCTCAGCCAGGGGTCACTTTTCCTTTCAGAAATCTTGGTTCTATCCCACGCTAATGGGAACACAGCATTCCCTATACACTCCCCTTTGGTGGTTATAAAAGCCCTCTGAAAAAGGCCACAGTGGGGCCAGCAAAAGGGGAGGCTTTGGCCCAAAACTTCCCAGCCAGAAATCCTATCTGTAAGCTAATCTTTCGTTTCTTACGACCTGACTATGAGCTGGCACAATGCTCTGTGTTAGTAGCTCTTTAATGTCACCCCTGATGCGCCCACTTCAATTTACCAAGAATTAATCATGTGCCTAGAGTTGCTATTGTTTTTCCAAAACGAAACCTCCTTTTATGGAACAACAATAACGATAATAACAACAACAGCTCACATTTGCAGACTGCTTGTTCCATGACAGCAAACTGGCCACCTGTGCCACCCCCATTTCACAGTGGAGGAAACCAAGGCTGCAGGCAGTAGGCTGTGTGCCTAAGACCACTCGGAAGGCACTGAGCTCAAGTTGAAGCCTTGGACTCTGGAGACAGCAAATAGGTTCAATCCTGCTTCGCAGGGAGAGATGGAAATATTTGGATGATCTGACCTAGTCCCAGCTGAGGGTTGGGAAGAGTTTCCTCACACCTGTTCAGTATTCATCTAATGGGGTTGATGGATAATTAGCTCTGTCCAGCCCTCTGCAAACAGGCCTGAGGTCCCAGGTGAATTGGAAATAACTCCTAAGGTGGAAGAGCCTTAGGAATCACCTGGCATCCCTGAAGATGGGGATTCCTGGAGCTCATTCCTAGATGATCTGTTTTAATAGGTTGTGTGGGTCAGGAACTTGCACCATTCACCAGTTCCCCAAATGACTTAGTGGGGCCAGGACGTGAGAGAAGTGGTCCAAGCCTCTCAGTCAGAAGCCTCTGTGTCAGTGAGCTGAGGGAGGATATCCTGTCCCAGACCAGTGAGGGAAGGACCCCAGGCAGGTGGCGAGGGCTCCAGCCCAGGCTAGATTTCAGCCTCTGCTCACCCTCCCTGTGGCTGGGCACCTCATGCAGAGCACAGCTCACCAACTGTACCCCAAAAGCCTGAGTAAGGAAGGGAGTCTTGGGAGCCCTGTGCTTATAAGATGCAGAGGCTAAGAACCCATGATGGAGAGGGGCTGAAAGAAGGAAAAGTTACTAGTAACTTAGAAAGTTAGGTTTTTCAGTTGCTAGCAAGCTGCATTTTGACTTACAAGGGAGGTCCCGGGGAGGGTGTGTGTGTGTGTGTGTGTGTGTGTGTGTGTGTGTGTGTGTAGGAGGTAGAGGCTAGCATATGGGACAGTCTCATGTGATGAACACGCACTGGACAGGCACCAAGTCTGAATCCAGACCTGAAGTTTTCACCTGTGTAATCTCAGGCCAGCCACCTAAGTTGGATGTGCCTCACCTTCCCCATCTGTAAAAGGGAGCTAATCACAGCACCCACCCCAGGGGCTACAGAAGTTCATCTGTGTAAGGCATAGAGCTGTGCCAGGCTCTAGGGCATGCCAGCTATCATGATGATATTATTAGGCAGTTGTTCTGGGTTTTCTGGCTGGTCCTTCACTCAACATTTCAGCCCTTACCCCAGCCGTACTGGGCTGCACCTGGCCCCAGCTCCAGCCAATCCCCCAGCCGTTCTTCACAGTTAAATTCAAAGCTTACCCTTTACCCTTTCAACCAGACCTCCCAAGGCTCCCGCGTATGTAGACCGATCTCCCCCTGCAGTGTTGGTTGTCTGTTTGCCACAGTACTGATCAGCAGTACTTCTGTGTGGGAGGTCCCCTGCTATACTGATTCATCAAGGGCTTCTGTATAAACAGCTCTCAGGCAGGTGCTTATACGGGGCTTAAATAGCTTATCCAGAGATGTATGAGGCACTTGCCCTCAGGAGCTTCCTGGACAGTTGGCATAATAAGAAATATCAAGAAAAATGACAGCACTTGTAGAGAAGTGGTAAAGCAGGGTATGGAACCAGGCCTGGGCATCACCTTCCATGGTGCTGTGTTCTTGCCCTGTTACCTAGTGAATGCCCAAAGGCAAGACCCAGGCCTTCCTCTCCCCCTTCCCATGCTGCATCCCCTGAGCTACAAACCAACCCCCTGTAGCAGGCGGGTGCACAGCACGCGAAGGGCTTTTCCCCGTTTGCTGGCCCTGGGCAAAGTGAAGGCTCTGAGCACATGCATGGTCGCCAGTGCGTTCACCCACTTGTTCTTCCACTGGCCTTTGCAGGAATTGCGCCAGTACCTGTCCAACCTTGCTGACCAGTGCACCAGTGAGAACAATGCTGTAGACATGCCTCTCGTCATCATCCTGGACAACCTGCATCACGTCAGCTCTCTGGGCGAGATCTTCAATGGGCTGCTCAACTGCAAGGACCATAAATGGTAAAGGCCAGCTCCAGATCTCAAGGTCCCTGGGAGGAGGGCCACCAGGTGATGGGCACTGCATGGGGAGCTATGCACATACATGGCCAGGGTCAGCGTGGGGGATGGAGGAGGCAGCCAGCCATCTGCCTAGACACACAGACCCCGCCGGCCTCTGTGAGCGCCCCGTTCTCGAGCTTGGCCTTGACTCACAGAGTTGTCTTTTCCTTCATGTCCCCCACAGCCCTTACATAATTGGCACGATGAACCAGGCTACCTCTTCTACTCCCAACCTGCAGCTTCATCACAACTTCAGGTAAGGTGTCACTTTTTGAGTACCTGTTATATGCCAGGCATTGTGTAGAGCGGTTTTCCCAGCTAAGCTCATTTAATTCTCACAACAGCCTCAAGTAGTTAAATGTCTCATTCTCCGCTGATAGATGGGGAGACTGAGACTAGAAGAATTAAGTGACTCATCTGAGGTCACACAGCCAGCTGATCAGTGGCAGAGCTGAGACTTTTGAACCCATGTCTCTTTGACCCTAAGTCCTGGGGTGACAGAGTCAGGGAGGCAGCTCTGGGCAGGGGCTGTAGGCATGCTTGCCTCCCCTACCCACTCCCAGTGGTACGTCTCTCTGGCCCAAGTTGACATGAGCAATGACAGCTCTTATGAATGTCCCCATGTGGGTCTGTGGGCCTTTGAGTTCCAGCTGCCCCAGCACCGTACCAGGGTGCTCCCCCTGCTGAGGTGTGGGAGGCATTGGTCCACTCAGTTGAATCTGGGTGCGTTGCTGCCTTGCCATGGATAAACGCCCTTTGCCCCGCGCTGAGTCCCCTGATCCACTCCTCCTCTCCTGCTGGGCCTGTAGATGAGGGTGGGTCATCTTCCTTGGCTCATTTTCACTGGCCATTCTGCAGGCATCTCTGAGGGCGCTCTATTGAAAGTGGACCTGAATCATCATTATCAGAGAAATGGCAGCTCCTCCAGGCCACTAAGATCATGGCTCACCTCTGCATCCAGCTGTCCCTGTCCTGCCCGTGCTTTCTCCTAAACATCCCTCAAGTCCTTCTTTCTCCTCCTCCTCCCTCTCATCACTGCCACGTCATCTTCCAGGGCACTACTGCAGTCAGTTCTAACCAGTTTTCCTGCATGCAGCCTGACCCCGCGTCCTCTGTGCCAATGGCAGCTGGAGTGAGCGTCCTAGAATTCAGATCTGACCACAAACCCTCATGCTTCTAGTTCTTCAATGGCCACCCCCGCCATTGCCGCCAGAACGGAACCCAGACTCCTTGGGTTGGCAGGTCAAGCCTAAAGTCTGGGTACACTGAACCCCTGGCAGTTTCCACAAACACCCCAAACTATTTCTGATGCCTTCACAAATGCTACAGGGAGCTCTCCACCCCTTACCCACCCCCCTGTTCTTGCCTTTCCTTATGGGGCTGCTCCATCCATTCTTCCAGTCAGCCCAGACATCCCCCACTCTAATTAGCCTTCCCTGAGTCCCCAGGATTCATCAGGTCTCATTCCTCTGATTGCTTATCTGCCTCTTCCAACAAGACAGTAAGCTCCTGCGGAACAGGGACGAATGTGTCTTAATCACCGATAGAGCTCCATAGCCCAGCACAGGGCCTGACACAAGCACAAGACGCAGTACGTTCAGTGGTTAGAGCTCAGACTTGGAGCTGGGTTGTCTTGGTTCTAATCTTAGCTTTCCTATGAATATTAACTAGCTGTTTGATCTTGGACAGGTTACATAACCTGTCTGTGCTTCAGGGCTTCTATCTGTAAAATGGGGTTGGTGATAATATCTGCATCACAGCGTTGCCAGGAGGAATTGTGAGTTAATATACTTGGCAGTGTTTGATGCATCGTGAATCCTATTTTAGTATTAATTAGCATATACACCTTCCAGTTCTAATGTGCTTTGACTCTTGAGGTTAGCCATCATTTTTATCACTGTCATCATCACTGAAAAGCACTCCTGCCTTCCCCCAGGTGGGTGCTTTGTGCCAACCACACGGAGCCCGTGAAGGGTTTCCTTGGCCGGTTCCTGAGGCGGAAACTCATGGAAATGGAGATCAGTGGGCGGGTGCGGAATGTGGAGCTGGTAAAAATCATCGACTGGATTCCCAAGGTCTGGCATCACCTCAACCGCTTCCTGGAGGCTCACAGCTCTTCGGACGTCACCATAGGTAGGTGGGAGGCTTGGTGAGAGCAGGCAGGTAGGCTGGCCAGGGAGAGCGCCTGGAACTCGGGCCCCCTCAGAGACGGTCCTGGAGCTGTTGGCAGACACAAGTCAGCTTGATGCTGTACTGTCCTTGCAGATAGAGATAGAGGCAAAGGGACAGTCACAGCCCAAGACAGACCCCAGACAGCCAGTCATCCACTGCTATGTCTCTCCCCTCTCGCCCTGCACAGTGCACTTGGGCTGATCAGTTGTGAGAGATTCCTCTAGCCCGGGCGGATGCAGAAACTGCCAGCTCAGTGAAGAGTCCCACCCCAAGGCTCCCCCAAGTGAAAACCACCCTGTGGGGTTAGCTTTGTTTTGAAAATAAAGTAAAATGGTACTAACATTCCTGAAGCTTAAGGATTTAGAACTGGG